AGTATTCTAGGTGTCCTGAGTTCTAATCTTGGGTCCGGAGACCGAATGTCCTGACAAAGGTTTTTCGTTATTTTTCTCAGTGTCTCCAAGCAATTTCCGATATAGTGTCTTAACTTAGACCACCACCGCGTCATTTCCAGCTCATTATTCATTTGTCTTCCTGTCCTTCGACGCTGTGTATTCTGAGCAACTGACAGCGTCGTTCAATATTCCAAAAATAAAAATAATAGGTCTATTTATCATAACAGTCGGGAATGCCACAACTCTTACTACTATTGATGTTCATTGGTGTCATGTGGTAGAATAAATCTAAGAAATTTGATTGTAATTTTTCTCTTGAAGTCGTATCCTTAGTAAATTTTTACGTTTCTCATGATTATTACCCAAGTACTTCAAAATAGGTATGTGTGGGTATATATATATAAAGTCATAAATTAAAATAATCTTCCATTTATATTGCGGTCTAGTGATATTAAAGCAGCAAGTCCTGTTGTATTTTAGCGTACGATAGGTCGAGCAAAGTTTACAAAGACACCTCCTTTACACTTCAGAGCAGAGAAGAACCCTCATAACGTGACAATACAATAGCTAGTTGAATTCATGATTATATAAAGAACACAGAGACACAATAACAATTTATATGCGTCGATTCTAATGCTTCTTATTTTGAGTTCCAAGATGGTATCTATAATTGCGTTATATAATTTATATATTATTGGTTTATGTTTAGTTCTCTGTCAATAATTTGACAGTTCTTTTGACGTTGTCGTTTCGATTCGTTTAATAGGAATTTTCACCTGATTACGTTAGAGAAATATAAAATTCTAAATGAAATATATAAAGTAAACCCTTTCTCTGAGTAGAATTAAATTTTGGTAGTTAAAAGCGCAGTTTGTTGAAGACAGAATCATCCGTCTTCTAAAAAGCACTCTACTTATTGGAAACTCCATCAACGGACTTGCAAACTTCCATTCTACTCTTCCTCTATCTCCTTGCACAACTTCTTAAGAAGACAGTGACATTACACCAGATTTTTTATTTAGTTATATTGAATGGTAGGCGTGCATCTTTATAGATGCGTTCTGAATAACGGAAGGACACACTAACAAATAATATAATTTATAAAAGGCAGAGAGCTTCTGTTTCTTATATATAGGGCTCCCATATTGTAATGATACCGCGTGTGCCATATGTCCCTTGAGGTGGTTAAGTAACTCGTATAGATTAATTTGATTTCTAACATATCGTTGCGTTACTTAATAAGGCATCTTAATTTCATCTGTCAAAACAAAACACTATTAAAGTACCCAGTTATAATATTTCAACGCCTACGGATTACATGTTTCGGTGCATGTGTGCCATCATCAGAACCATTAGTTTTCACACAAAAATAAATTGGAAGTTGCAACATTTGAAACCGGTTCCTCACGTAACTTCCTCATCGCGCTGACGATGTAGGGTGCAAGGACCTCTGAAACGTCGGTAAACTTCTACCAGACTACACGTCGCTACAACCCAGAAGACAGATATCTTAGTACATGCACTTTTTTCGAATTTATAAAACAGTTTTTCTTTCGTTTGTCGTAAGGTTTTGTGTTTTCTTAACATTCTTATCTTTTCGTGTCTTGTTGAGTTTTAACTCTCTCCCTCACCATCTGACAATGCAAAGTGTTGCTTCTTACTTTTAATTACTTTAGTGCGAAACCTTGCATTCTCTCATTTCGTTTCTCCCTCCGTCTTCGACACACCTTCTGTTTCATTACAGTTTTCCGTGTGAAGTAATTCAGAAAATAGCCAAGAAACGAAACTGAAGCAAGAATTTCGTACGGAAAAAGGGAACGCATTTAAGGCAACTTTGTTCTGTAAAATGATGAAAACAAACTTCTGTATGCAAATCCAGATTTTTTTCCTCACATCGTAACAGAAGATGTCGTGAAGGTTTAGTGAAATTGATTTCCCCTTTCATTTCTAATAAATTTACAAATTTGGGACTAATTTTCTTGTTTTTAGTATGTCAGAAGACTTCTGTTGCATTAAATTGTATAAAATTAACTGTAGAGAAGCATGTCTAAATTATGTTACTACGGTCAACTTTTATTTCTTTACGCTTATAACGTGCTTATAACACATGATGCACATTATAAAACACATTTTGTTCAGAATTCATCTGAAAATAATCAAGATTTGTAGATGAGTAAACCTAATGCATATTGTATGATATAATTATAGAACGAATCTCGTTTCATCTCGTAACATTCCGGCTGTGTGTGCTCGATTCTGATCCAGGTGAATTCGATCTCAGACTCCGACATACCCTTCCACAGGCGCCATCATAGTCTTTGCTTTCCTTACTACCATAAAAATAAAAATTTTCTTAGATATTATCCATCGTCTAGTAAATAAAATATATTTATATTCGCCATCGTCAAGAACTTTTAGATTTGATATTGATTGTAAACTTTTGAATAAAATTTTTCTTGGATATTATCCATCGTCTAGTAAATAAAATATATTTATATTCGCCATCGTCAAGAACTTTTAGATTTGATATTGATTGTAAACTTTTGAATAAAATTTTTCTTGGATATTATCCATCGTCTAGTAAATAAAATATATTTATATTCGCCATCGTCAAGAACTTTTAGATTTGATATTGATTATAAACTTTTGAATAAAAATTTTCTTGGATATTATCCATCGTCTAGTAAATAAAATATATTTATATTCGCCATCGTCAAGAACTTTTAGATTTGATATTGATTGTAAACTTTTGAATAAAAATTTTCTTGGATATTATCCATCGTCTAGTAAATAAAATATATTTATATTCGCCATCGTCAAGAACTTTTAGATTTGATATTGATTATAAACTATTTGCACCGAATCAACAGTGTATTCTTACAGTCAAATTTGGCGGATATTAAAAACAGACTGGCACCACGGACGCTTGTTCTGGTGCGTTTATCTGTTCGGGTTTATTTGGCCGTATACAAGAAACGTGCCATACATCCTTCGAGTTATAAATGTAAACACTGGAGATGTTAGGCTACTTGCAGCACATCCGCGATTCTTATCATGCTAATGAGACTCGCGAGGCCTTGTACCCCCAATGTGGATTGTTTCTGCCAAGTGGGAGAGGAGGCTCATTTAGGGGTTGTTTGACGACGCTGTTACATCACCCGTTTATGCAGATTATTCAGAATTCAGATGCAAAGTTAGTGCTGGAATTCATGTTGAATCAGTGATATGGAGGGAACAATTTATCGTCTCTTAATGAGTCGTAGACGGTGAGTTAAGTTTAACTGTACACTTCTTGATATGTATGAGGTGACGATGAAAGCCCGGCGTTGTTTACAGCGCGAAGTCATCTTGTAAGTGTGTAATGAACATCTGACTCACCAGAGCGATGTTGCGTTTATGGAAAACAAAGCAGAAATTAGGTGTAGTTTTCTACTGCTCCACTAATTATTAAGTCTCTGTGTATTATAGCCAAATGCAAATATTTTTATATCAATGTATTAGGCGATATGCATTCTGTAAGAATCAGGATAATACTTTTAATTATACTCGTTTATTAAGCAATGTAGGACACCCTTTAACATTTAATTTTAACGAATATTATCGACTTTATATTAACTTAGTACTTCATTAAGTATAAACAAAAGTATGTCAAAGATACTTATACAAAAGATGACTGTCTTGTGTTTCTATCGTAAATGTTTACCGACGTTTCAAAGGTGCTTACTGTCGCCATAATCAGGGTCGGGTTCTGTGAACTGGATAATGAACAAAAGTTCGGGCTGTAAAAAAGAATCTTCAAAATCTAAGCTACAAACAGCTTCTCATATAAGGTCGTGCTTATGTTTGCAAGATAGTTAGTTATTTAGTTTGTTATTTGCGATAAAATTCCACATACTTAGACTAGTATTGTAGATTTTGTGCATAATTCGTGAGACATTTTTAAAACGTGGTGCACAAAGCACATTTATGACCCAGAAGAAAAACAATTATGTCAGACAAAAAACGTCCAAGAGGAGGGTTTGAATAAAGAAGACAAGCACAAATCTACATCAATTTTAATCATCATCCGTCATCATTAACGTGCGTTATATAGCGCGAAGTTTTCTGTACTCCTTTTGAAACGAACAACACAACCGCCTCACGCAATACCGCGCACTTGAAGTCCCCCCCCTCCACCCCATTATTCTTTGTGGGTTGTGTCGATCGACAGAGATCGATAGATTTCTTCAAATGCTCTAATACAACAAAACGCCTTTGCTCGAAGACAATGAAACGCCTGTCTCTAACGCAATGAAGCCGTAAACCGATTTTAACCCTTTAAACCGAAAGCTCGTCTAAATTAGATTTAAGTATCCAGTTCGTATCGCAAAGAAAAAATCACACTTTGCCATTACAAAGGTCAACTGGTTAATGTTGTTCAAAGTAATAATCTCTGTTTACTCTACATATCATACAGATCATATAAATACAAAATGAAGATTTATTATTGTTAGTATAGGTGGTATATATAGTTACCACTTGGCTTTAGGGGGTTAATTGAGCAAGGGTTGCTTATTAGAAACTAACCTTTTGTGGCAGTGTTTCGAATATTATTAAAATTAAATATTTAATTCCTACATCTCTAAAATGAAGTTTATAATTTTCAATATAAACATTTTATGTTTTACAAATAATATATTCATATCAGCTATAAAATAAAATTTACAGTTAATTTTATGAGAAGCAAGTAGTATGTGTAATTTATGAAAGCCTGATTGCAGTATGTGTTTGTCTATAAAGGCACATCAGGACATAGTTTTGAGAATAACATCCTCTTATATTTTCTGTAGATTTTGAGTTTTGTTCCAGTCACTACCAAGAAACTCAATAACTGACCTCTGCATTGTATTCCACCCTTAAGAATTCGTCTCAGTGGAATCTGTATGCCTCTTCTACAAGAAGCTAATAATGTCGGGCTGTAACAAGTGTTGCATTTTCAGGTCCGTGTGACTTTCCTCTTGGGATGGAGTCCGGGTCTGTCCCCGACTCTGCCATTACCGCGAGTTCGTCCTACGTGCCCAATGTAGGACCACATCAGGGAAGGTAAGTGACCTTATCCGCAGTTAACCCGATGGAAACCGTCGACTTGTCTTAGTCAATTACACAGCTACGTTATGGCTATCACTTCAAATTTTGACTTCTCGAATTTTTAAGTTCCCATTCGTGAAAAAACGTAGACATAGTTGAGATAAAAAATCACTTTTATTCATGCAAATTATAGAACACATAACAAGAGTAGTAGAAATTGTACCGAAGAAATTAAGTGGGATTTGAAGTTTTCTGTAGATAGCTGTCTTCATATCAAATTAAATTAACTCGAAAGACTTATTAATGATATCAAATATCTGGATCGTTCTATATAAAGGAAATGATATATGCATCCATTAAAATCATGCTCATTATTACACAGTAAGTGTTTGTGTGTGTGTATAACATCATCATACGCACATCATTCAATGATCTTTGAAATTACCTCGAAATTTTAAAATAGCTATGTCATATTTGCGTGCAGAATATTGTAACAAACTTTCATAGATAATTTGGTCTTGTTTACCAGTTTAATTGCATACTCGTCAGCTTAGCGAGGGCTTAGATTGCAATATTAGTATCGGGTGGACCCTCAAAGGGCATTGTGTACAAAATGTGAAGTTCCCTAATTGGGTAGAATCAGTAGTGGATATTATAGGGTGTTTGTGAATGAAACAGGAAGTTTCCCGGTTAGTTAAATAATATATCTTGCTGGCAGTAGCCATTACGTGAAACTCTCGCAGTTTCCTTCTGATCTGAAGAAGGAAAAGTTCTGTATCGCCTTAAATTGAGGTTACTTTACGTTGTGGTTCGACGTTCCGTATTTGTGGGGAAATAACACGGCGTTGCCATGTTACAAACCGTATAATGTCTTTGTGAAGGCTCGACAATACAAAGGAGTTTTGTATGCTTGTTATTATACAAGTGTTTAAAATTGAATATAATTCACTCTGCAATAATAGGCGTGGGTTTTAACCTTCCGGGAATAGGAATTTTCATGGAAATGAGGATCTAGACATGAATCACTTATCCTCGTAAAGAAGGTTGTATCGCGTAAAGTATACAGTAATGAAGAATTTGTTCAGATGTGTAGATGTAAATATGTCACAATCACTTCGTTACAGGGAGAAGTAACAGAATGCAGTTTAATCTTAATGTTATCAGGTGTCATGTTTCATCAATAACATGAAATAAAGATAAAATTGCATTAATGAAAATGTAGAGCCAAACCCATTACACTGTGGTGATCACTTTCTTCAGTGTTTACAGCTTGGATGGTTAGAGTTTTGTCATATATTTTTAAACATAGCACATATATATATATATATAATGTCATATTAGTTGAAAAATATGAACTATTATTCCCCGCCGTGGATAATTTGTGGAGATTTACGTCCTTGGATCAATCAGCCCGTCATGTTATTGAGTTGTGACAAAATTTAAATTGTGACATGCCGAACGAACAAAGTGTTGAACGTAACGTGTGGACAGGCTGTGGTTTGGCCTGTCTGATTGGTCCACCCTCAAAGGAAATTTGATATTTAACTGTCATTGCGAGTCCATGGTTGAACTCAAATTTGGTTTCTGTATTAAACGTGACACCTTAATTACTACGCTAGTATGCTTATAATTCACGTGTAGACATTTTCCACAACTGTGTCAAAAATTGAGGTATGCTGTGAGCACTGTTTTCTCCAGCCAGTGGTTTTACGTGTTACACAATTAGTTTTATGTAAACATGGATGCTGGGTTTCTGAATTCAGCAAACTCTCACGAGAACTGTAGCTGCCTGCATTAAAATGCCTCAGCACGATAAATAAGCAGCTTTATTGTTCGGTGGACATTGGTATTACGTAAGGCAGCTACACTGTTCGTGTGTTCTGGAACCAAATGCATGTCCGTTTGGGAATACTCTTGTTTATGTGATACACACCAGAGATGAAGGAGATTGTATGGGGCTCGAGGGTAAGGAGAATCACCGTGGAGGACGAACATGTCCGTCTCTTAGTTCCCACGTTCCAGCCATTTCACTGTCTCTGCCTTTGGTTCATTCCTGTCCCTTACTAATCTTTTACAAAGTTCTCCCTGAAGATGACCCACACTTGCTGAAACACATAGGCCAGTAAGTAGTATTAAAGTTTAAATATAATTGTTGCATTCTGGTTGTTATATAATCTACACAGTGCGCGTTGTTTAAATAGTTCGAAGTAATCAATACATTCCTTGTAAGCCTTTTGTTAATTATTGGTGTTAACTATAGGTCAGCATAAATCTGATTCGTGAAACCAAATCTGGAAATGGTTTCAGAATGGATATTCGATTACAGACCCCCCCCCCATTCCTTCCATGTGGATTACATAATCTCCCTTGTTACACAAAGTACAGTAACATAGTTTCTGAAGTTCCAGTGCATTAGTTATAACAAACAAACAATGTTTCAATGCGCAGCATTCATGAACTTGAGTTCAACAATTCTCGTAATGCTGCATCTGTACTTTAGACCCAGCCTCTCGGAGGAACTAGAGGCTAGTTTTAAGCCTCGGACTAGAGTAGGAGAAGAAGCATTGGTACCGCGATATAAACATCGTAATCTACTGCAACTACTCGTGCGGTCCAGCGAACATAACCTCACCTAGACTTGCAGCAACACTGGGGTTACAGCTTCCATTTCTTAGAATCAGTGGCGTGCACACCAACTACGTTAAATATTTCAGACGTGTTTGTGATACTGCTACTACTGCGAAATTAAGTTATTTCTTTATTTGGACTGAGAGGAGATGTAATAAATGCATACACAAGTTTAGTCGGAAAACCAGAAAGGTAGAGACCCACATGTAGATGGTAGTAATATTAAAATGAATTTTGGTATGTTGATGTGGAATGAATTTATCTGGCTCACGTTAGGTTACACGGTAATGTATCCTCGGTTTACATAAGAGTAAGGGTATTTCTTGACTGGTTGAATGATTGACTGGCTTCTTGGTGAAGAGTCTTTTGGTTTGAAAGATATTTACCGAAGTTTCATAACCGACGTTGCAGAAGCCACTTGATTGTTTTCTGGGATGTTGCCTCATTGCGCAGTAAATACCTCTGAAACCTATGTCAGTTTCGGTGAGACTGTCGGCACCACATCCAAGAGGGCATTTTTGATACAATGAAACGTCTGATGCCATAAAAGATGACAAATTTCTTGATTTTCTCTACTCCACGGATTCATCAGGTAAAGTAAACTTGAATCTCTTATTATTCAGGGCTTAAATCAGCACGCCACTCCAAGGACTCTTGATACACCGTAGCTCTATTTTGTACTCCTGGACGTTAATGGCTGTGTGAAACTGAATTTATTAATGTGTTACCAGTACGTGTCCGGTCCCTACACAGGAAAAGGAACAATATAGAGATTCATGGCGGTTTCCTTCCCTCCTACTTATGTTCCCTAGGGATCCGTAAGGGAAGCGGGAAACTGAACTGCCCATTCCCTGCAGGGAACAAAAGTAGGCAACCAGCCGCATTTCTGCTGTCCGTTTTTTTTGAGAAATCAAAATGTTCATCACCGTATTAACAACTTTTATAGTATTTAAGAATTCAGTCCGCACCTCAAAGTAAACACAACTCTTCACCATTACAAAGATCAATTGGTTAATGCTGTTTGAGGAAGTACTCACTGAAAATCATACAAGGATTACGTATTGTTACCACTAGGCTTTAAAGTTTTAAGGAAACAGGCTGGAATGCTGCAGGTGGTATTAACGTTTTCAAAAGTTGTAACAATTACAGAAGTTTCATAATAGTATCCAGCATGTTGAAAGAATACGTGAGAATTATAAATTGCTACATAAATTAATCGTGATATAGGCATACGAAAATTCAGTTAATATAACCATGCCTGGCCTTGAATATTTCGGTGCATTTACATTTCGGTGTTCAACTACAAAATCTTTGTCTTGTGTGCTGTGATATTCTAGGTCATGAAATGAAATTTTGAAGATGCCTACGGACGTGTTTCAAAATTCCTTCAATCCAATTTCAAACGCAATCAATTTTCTCCTTATTATGTTTGTATCTACTTTATATGCCCATGTCTTATTCAGCTTTTGTAACATGCGCGTGTATTTCTGTTGTCAGAAAAGTAATTGGATGTCATAAAATCAATATAACATTTAAGAAGTTGTCATGAAATGGAGGTCATGTTATAGAACATTTTCATTTTATCATAACCTCAGAAATTAAACATAAAATTCTAACAGAGAATGGATATGACGCTAGGTACTTCAGATATTTCCTGTACGTAACTTATCGATATAAAGTCGCTTTAGATCGAAGTATGTGACGCAAGAATTATTAAATTATTCACGTGTATTGACAGTTTATTGAATATCTCTGGGTACCATCGCAAACCATTGGCCCGAAAAGATTATTAAAAGATGCAATCTTTGTTTGCACAAAGACAAAAAAAGAATGTTTGGACATCACAGTTTGTAGATTTTCATCTTCATGTTTTTTTTTGCGGCAGTTCGTGAGTCGTACCAGAACGTGTAGCTCTGTGATATTAATGTATATGATCAGATAACATAAAAGTGTTTCCAATTTCCCCAGCGTTTTAAACTTCGAACAAAAAATAAAAACAGGAAATCATGTCATCCAGGGTTTCTGTTCGCGTGTGACGTTATATAAAAGCGATGGTACAACTTGCAGTCTTTCAAACTGTGGTCCGATTATCGCAAGATATGTTTTGTCGGTCCGCGTGAGGCAATATGGATTATCTGGGTGGAAAATACGTGCTACAAGGAATCAAGACGTCTCCAAACGAACACAGAACTGTCCAAAATACCACTATATTTAAAAAGTGAAAATGTCATGGGAATGGAACATTATGTATTCTACAAAAGGGAGATGTCATATGTAAGTCAGGCGTATAAAATATGACGTGCTTCTCTTGTACAGGCATCAGCAAAAGAACAGCATCATTCAGCATAGTACACGGGTAATGACTTTATTAAACGTTTAGATGTTTCAAAAGCAATTAGTTTCGAACATATTTTACAAGAACTGTTTAACATATTATCATCAATAACAATTAAAATTGTCATTTTTATTATATAATATCAGCTGATGTACTTAGTTACAGAAATTTACGATGTTTTTCTGTATTTTTACGCCGTATAGATTCGTAGGTAGGTTAGGTTAGGTAGAGTTGGATAAGATTAGGTTGCGTTAGTTTGGCGACCTGACCACCTGGCGACCTGGAGAGTCGGTTTAGGTCAGAAAGCGTTTAACTCCTTTGTTCGCAGAATAACTTCATGCACACAGCTGTTTGTAATACTCCTATATATGTTGTAGTTCTTATCGTGGTCATGTGCATATATGAAACTGGGTATATACAATGTGGGAAAATTACATAAGCTTTAATGCGCTGCGTTATTGATGGTCACTTGCCGATGACAAATTGTAGTTCATACCAGCCATGTCTTCGGCACGGATGACAGTAATGATAGACGATTAATGACAGATTACCGTAGTAATGGCAATGTTGATGGACACATTTAGTTCAGAGGTGGGTATGTTTCATTAAAAAACAACTCAAAATTATATCGCGTCGGGGTAACTGTATTTGGAGTGAAATTCTGTTTCCTCAGTAAACCACAAAAAAGTGAGAGGTGTGTGATCCTGTATGATATATTTATTTATAGTGTATGAAATGTCGAATTTTCATCTGTTTGGGTTATGTAGCTTAGAATTTTTGAAAGTGGTTATCATGGACAGAAGTGATAAGAAACTGTAAATCAGGGTTCTTGGTTCCCGGGATATATTTAAACTAAGAACCTCTTTACGGTGACATATTCTACTCCTGTTTGAGTACACAGAGTCCGAATTCCTTTGCGTGCCATTTTGTACAATCTCCCAAAATTCGTATATCACAAAAATTACATTGAAATTTCCTTTTAATAATACTCTGGAAAAATTAATATTTATTCTATGTGAAACAAAGAATTACTCTAATGTGATCCGTTTCCTTTATAAATTCAATGAAGGGGGGCATTAAATATAGCCTGGCGTGTACTAATTTACTGAATATAATGACAATTTTTACTTTAATCATTACGCTTGTCACGTTATTTTTACGATTAAATCGTCAAAGTAATCCTGTCAAAAAAAGAGCAGGCAGCTGGGGTGTGTGACGATTTTCAAATCACAGAAATTACACAGCGACAGCTTTCCATTCCATTTTCAGCCACTTCACTCCTTCGTCTTTCCTCCCTTATTTCGTTCTTCGCTCTAGAAATTTCCCCACATCGAAACAATAAAAGCACCACGCTGTGTCGCATAAATTTTAATAGTAGTCGTTTTATGGATCATTCAGCATATGACACTAATAGTTAATAGAGAGAAAAATTCAAGTTTGTGACAGGGGAGGATCGGAAAAATATAAACATTTCTTTTTATTTGATAAGATTTAAGTGAATTAATAACGTCAGCTATTGCTGGCATGTATATTAGCTGTCTGTTACGTTCAATTTAAATTCGTTTTCTCAAACGTTGGCATTATATGTTGAATAACATTATGAGCTCAGACGTTGTCGTTCAGGGCGCTATGGATCATGGTTAAAATTAAACTACGGTGACAGGAAGCATTACCTGCAAGAATTATTAATTCTCTCTCTCTTTCATATCTTTTCTCCCTTCAGTCTACGTATGTACACTCTGATCCAAAAGTCTGATTTGTATACTAATTTTTATTAGTTCACTGACATTAAAATCTCTTTGTTTATGTCATTAACATGTACAGATATAAATGTCAGTGACTGTAAACGATGTCAGTGCAGCTGAAGCTTGCGAATGAATCACGTGGATTATAAAGGAGTTAGTAGCATGAAATCAACTCGGTAACTCTTCATAATAACGGAATTAATATATTAGCTTCTGGCTATTGACAAATCACAGTTACTTTTCGGCGTTTTTAGTTCGAAAACTAACAGCGTATCATTTACAGTCTTGCTGAAGTAAATCCAATAGGCAAAACGATCTGTATACCAGCGTCTTTGTAAAGAATTGTCAAATACTGTACTTAATTTTACTGTTATTTTGTAACTCATGCTGTATTTCACTGTCCATACTTTGAATACGTGGTTAATGTGGGATTTAGGTTAATTTGTGAGGTGAATTCAGGTTAGTTTAGGTGGGATCATGTACCGTAAGATTGATTTACGTTAGGTAACCATAAGTTATCTTGTTTATCCTTATGTTGTTCTTTAATATTATTGTTATAATAATCCTTATAATTTTATCATTATCATTGTCTATCATTTTCATTATCTTTAACATTATCAATATACTTCTTAATATCTTTATCTTACAAAAGTTATTCTTTATAATTATATTATTCATTTTATTTATTATTATATTTGGCTGTTATATAAATTAATTGAATTGAATTATCCTTTTCTTTGATTTTACCTTGATATTTTCCATTATCTGTGTTTTATCCTTACCTTATTAATTATGTTTATAGTCGTCTCTGTCCGACAGAGAGGGCTGCATTTGTGTTCTGCATGCCTACCTCAGAATTTCACTGGCGCTGAAGTACCCAAAATGAACCACATGATGGATGGCGCTGGCAATTAACTGTGTGTATTAATTTGTGGTGACTAATGATGAGATACTCTGTATACTGTATAGTAAGGTGGATGTACATACAAATATGATATTGTTTCTCTTGTGTGTACAGTTGGCTCAGGTGTTTACATACCAGTCGTGCATCACTCGATATCCATTGAATGTACCTGGAGGATGCAGTAGGCAGTACGTAAACATATGTATCACTCTGTACACAGAGATCGAGGTCTAGTGAACAGCGTGTTATGATGACTCTCGATAATAAACAAACTCACCTTTTGTTAATGTTTATGCAATTCTGAAAATGTCACGTCTCATCCCTGCTGCATTTATGTTATGGTCATGATACACGCAAGCACTTGAAGATTAAACGTCCGTGATCTGACTTAAGATAATTACGAAGTTGTTCTTAGCGTTTAATTAAGCAACACGCCATACATGTGTATGGAGGAGTGGAGGTATAGAGCCACTGTTTAGAGGTGATTGTTCGTATTTATGCCCCGATCGTATTACCTACAGCGGAATGTCTCCCAGTGCTGTTTGAACAGGAGTCTGGCTTGGCTCCAGAGCCGATCTGGAAGAAAAATTTCTGCCTCAGCCTGGAATCGAAGCTCGGTCGTCCAGTCCGTAGGCAAGAATTTTACATAAAGTGTCTTACCAGGCCAGCATAATGCAGACCTATCCCGTTATAAATTCCTGTTTAATCAATTTAATATGAATTTTATAATATTCTTCTTGGGAAGAAACTAAATTTCTCGGGGTTTTTTCAGGTCATGAACATCCGAACCCTAGTTATAAGTAATATAATAGATCTCTCACCAAAGCAGCCTGCCAATCGCTGATGGTGGAATCAATGCCAGTCTCCGAAACATTGGAAGGTAATTCCGTCCTCACACGACTGAACCCCGAAGAAGATTTAATCGCATTCAATATGTTAGGTGCACTGTGCACCTTTCGTAATCATTCCCGTCTTTGAGATGTGTTTGAGGTCTAGCCAGTGATCTTCATTACAGGAGTGTTGCCTGTGTGTTGTGCAGGTTGCGGGTCGACAAAACAGGAGGCGCGTGGTGCCCGAAGCAGCAGGTGGAGCGAGGGGTACGAGAGTATCTTGAGGTCGACCTGGGTGACGTATACGTGCTAACCGGCGTCGAGACGCAGGGTCGGTATGACCGCGGTCGCGGCCAAGAGTACGTCGAGGAATACATGATTGAGTACTGGCGTCCTGGCCTGGGGGAATGGAAGCAGTACAGTCGTTGGGACGGCAAACAGGTAAGTGTGCCAGTTGACGGCTACTCCAAGGTGGCTTGCAGAGTCGATATTACTGTTAATGGTTATTCTACCCTGTCCATGAACTTCATTTCTCTGTCTAAACGTTGATCTAGAAGCTGGCCTCCTGTGTTGTTATGCCGTGTTTACATCTTTAGCCCTGAAGATGGAGGCAATATATGCGACCGAAACGTTTGAGTCTACCGACAAGTCCACCTAGCGTTTCAAAGCAAAAGACCAGCGTCGATATCTTCACCACTGTGAGACTTTCAAGTCTCGTGAATATTCTTAGTTAACATATATCGATATATAGTCGATAAAATTGCACACAAACTCTTGAAACCCCATTGATAACGAAATTTGTCATTTGCTTTAAGATCGATATATAGTCGATAAAATTGCACAGAAACTCTTGAAACCCCATTGGTAACGAAATGTGCCATTTGCTTTAACTATGTATAACTACTTTTTCCACAGATTTATTTATGATTTCGTCTGATTCTAGAAGTAAAGAGCCTAACATTACTGACCAACTAAGATTTGTAATGGTGAAATATTGTGTTTTATTTGTGGTACGAAATTGAATCCTTAAATATTGTTTGTACGCGTTTTGCCTCCAAAGGTTTAAAATAAAGTCAACCGAACTAAGCCGAAAGCAAGTTGACATTTCTAGTGTCATACTGTGAGTTGTGCAGCGCTTTGTAAATTTTGTAACCCTCCTTCTATTCCAATACAAGCAGTTATTTCAATCTGCAGAGTACCCGTCCATTAATTCTGTCACCATAACAAATTATAAACAGAACGTGGAGAGCCATTGGTCATTTATCCTAAAATTGGGCATGGAAACCGTTGTTAATTGGAGGTTCTCCTGATTCGAGATCAAAATTCAGTTGGATAACCTGAAAAGAAGAGGTCACTTGGAGGATTTAGATGTAGATGGGAGGATAATATGAAAGCAGTTCTTAAAGAATAGTGTTAGCGTGTGTTGGACTTATTTTGCTCAGGATATTTTCTAGCGGTGGGACGTTGTGAACTTGAGGGTCTATAAAATGCAGTGAATTTCTCGGCTATCTGTGTCACTGTTAGATTCTTCAGAAGTACTGTCCTCCATAGAGTTAAATTGTTCTTTATCATCATACTTCTCTACAAAAATGGATGAAAAATAATCTGTTCTATATCATTTAATTGTTTCTCTCTGATTTTACGTGTACTTTAGTGTCTCCAGTGAACGCGAACTAAGTTTCTGAGGCAATTCTTAATTCTCCCATGATTTTTTACGCAGTAGTTAATGGTTTTCGCTCCAAAAATTATTTCCATGCTAAATTTCAGTGGGGAGGTGCTCTTCCAGTGTGCGTGTAGTAGTAATTAGTAGACAGGGAACGCGTAGGGATGGAGCAGTTTGGAGTAATGGCGCAGATAAGAGGAAGTGGTCTGCGGCTGAGAAGAGAAGGGTGGTGTTAAGAGCAGACGTAATGAGAGTTGATGGGAGAAACCAACATGGGGCCAGAATATATTCTGTGTACATTGACCATTAGAAATGTTCGCATCGATAATTTGGGAACACAGAAAGTTGATGCGCTCATCCGTTGCTGTTTCACACATCCGCCCGTCTACCGCGAGCTCGCCAACCTGACGAAGACAACGTTCACTCAGTTCCCTTCATTTCTATCTCTCCTTGACCTGAACCTTAACAGTATCCTGCATATCTTTTACAGTCAGCTTCATTCATATGTAACTGATTAATTAGTCTGTAAATTTGGTTTGTTCATATTTTCCTGCAAGGATATTTCTGCAACGATTTAACAATAAATCCGATATCAGCAACAGTTATGAGCAGATTATTTAAACAAACGACGTTTCGGCATTTATAGTAACATTATGAGACATTATTATACAGTAGGCATCACGGAGTTTTCCTCCGGGGGCTTCCCCGGTTTCTCCGTGGCATCCCAACAATTACTCCATTCACACACAGAAGAAGGCAATGGCAAACCACTTCTGGATCATCTGCCAAGAACGTATATGAACAGGTCCCAGTCCGAGAAAAGGATGGAAGGATCCTGTTCATATGGACCTGTCGTCAGACAGAACACTACAAATAAAAAATAATAATAACCTAAATTGGGTACAAATTTTAACGGGTCGCATTCATACAATGTTTTAATACGAAATATTTATTGGGCAGTTACCTGCCTTTTTACGACATACGAAAAGAATTAAATGTAATTTTTCATTATTTTATATTTTTATACGCTTGCAAACATTTTCTGGTTTCATTTCAACGTTTGAAGTTTTACCAATATATTTTTTTTCCACATAAGAAATCATTCCAAATAGAAGTTTATATTTTTCCTTGCATACTGTGAAGTTATTCTGCCCCCCCCCTGTAGCAAATGAGTACAGATCTTCTTTAATATTATCATGTCGTATTATCTTCACACGAGTTTATCACTAACGTTTAGCTAATCAAGAAACCACTGCCTTTTATAACCCGAATGTTCATACAGCATTTAAAAGAACCAATCACGACACCTTGTTGTTAACCATGTAAGTCCAGTTCACATAGCACTAATTCTTGAAGATTCATTTTAATATTATATTTGCATCTGCGTTTCCTTCACCCAAGTGTGCCAACTGTGACTAGATCTTCAGGTTAATGTATTTTACTATCTCCGCCGTTCATGCTACATAACCCGCGCGTGTCACAGTCTTTGATTTGATAATCCTAACAATATTTTGAGAAGAATGAAATTAATGGGCTCGTTGTTATGAAGTTTTATCCAGTCTCCCGTCACTTCATCGCTGTTGAGTGCAAATGCTAACCTCTTTGTTTAAATCTTGTCAGTCTAATCACAATAAAATTCCTATTAAATATTAAAATATTACTATAATTAACATTTAAATATTTAAAATATATTAAATGATGTTCTCTATCGAAATGTTCGATTTACATTAGATCATCACTGTAAAAAGTGAATATTTAAATGTTAATTATAGTAATATTTTAATATTTAATAGGAATTTTATTGTGATTAGACTGACAAGATTTAAACAAATATATATTTATCACAATATGACGCAACTTTATCATCTCATGAATGCTAACCTCTTATTAATTCTTATCGCAATAGTTATAACAAAGTCACTTGATATACAAATTTTCCGAAGGAGATTAAATGCTGTTTTTTTTATATATTTTATTTGTATACTTTCTTCTGGCCGTTAATTCCATTTTATTTTAAGCCCATAGAAACAACGACGTACTTTGGGCAGAGTACGTCATCAGCTCCGCCCCCTTTCAGTATTAAGCCTCTTACGGGTGCAATATTGAAATTTGAAAGTTGAAAATAAATAGAAGTGTAGGATTTAAGGTTCTGACGGCGGTGACTTTATCTTCAACTATAAATGTAATTCTTCATATTGATTTATTGAAGCCGTGACGAGTTTTAGCCCAATTTGGTCGCATTTCTAAATGACAGCTCGCATTTAAATGAGACTGCAATTTATTCAGCAAATATGGAAGGTGATAAAATAGTAGACGGTTGTCGAAGCAAATAAACTTTAATGCGTTCTGATGTGTTTTGACGCTTGTGGTATCGTGATGTTTATACTAGGCTTTTTCGCAGATTCCACATTTACCATCCTTTTCTGTTATATTTTATTGCACACTGAATAGTAGAGTTTTATTTAATTATTCAAGTAATGGTGCTTCAGTTAAATAAACTATGAGCATTTTGTCAATACCGTGGTCTATTTATTATGTATTCCGTTAGGATGGCTGGTAATTTCTGTTACACCACTCACATTCACAACACGACACCGAATTCGTATCTTGACCGGATGATTGGTTATCCAGATTGAGGATTTCCGTGTTATTTTTCAGACTCTCCAGGTAATTACCAGGCACCATGACAAACTAGTTCCACATAAGTATATATTTTATATACGTTTATGTACATCCTACCGTTCCATTAAAAGTGGTATAGCTCTAACAGCTTATAAAGCGTCTATTTATGTACAAACCAAGAATCGATAAGTGAATCCACAACACGATTCTACCGATGATATTTATTTATTGTTTATATAACGCAGTATGTAACTCATATTATATTGCTTTCAAAAATAGGATAAATGAGATGATAAAGTTGCGTCATATTGTGATAAATATATATTTGTTTAAATCTTGTCAGTCTAATCACAATAAACACGGCAATACTTCCAGATGGACGTAACTCTTCCACAACTTCATTTCTGGATGATACAAAAACAACAACAAACGTTCACCCACACAAAATCATGTTAAGCACGACGTACATACGGAACAACTTCGAATACGATATTAAAAATACAATAAATCTAGAAGAAAACATCATTTGAAATCTGATAAACATCTGACTAAAAGTTGCATTTAAGATATTATATTTAAGTTTTTAAGTTTATATAATTTTATACACCTGAAGATGGTTCTTTTAGAACTGAAACATGTCGTGTAAAAAGTGATGATCTAATGTAAATCGAACATTTCGATAGAGAACATCATTTAATACATTTTAAATATTTAAATGTTAATTATAGTAATATTTTAATATTTAATAGGAATTTTATTGTGATTAGACTGACAAGATTTAAACAAATAGGATAAATAATTGTTTGGGAAGGATTTGGAAGGAAGCAATGTTTGTCTGATTATTTATGGTACTGTCTCGGCAATTACCTTGAGCAACTAAAGAAAACCACGTACATCCTCAGTCAGGATAACCGGACTGCGGACTGGTATTTGAACCCTGATGTCTCGAATACGAAGTAGGAGTTCGAACCGTTGATTTTACGCTGAAACTGCTCAAGAAAGCTGAGGTCATGTGGAGCCTAAAGGGACTAGTTTTAGAGATAAACTTGTGAGATATGTTAGAGCTAGAGGTCGATTAGAAAGAATGGATAAGAATAAACATAAGTAGGATTTCAGGTTCTCAAGGCGGTGAGTCCGAAGATGGCTGTCTTCTGCG